TATTGTAAAAATTATAACAATAAATTATTAATAAAATATAAAGATAAAATGGTGATAAAATGGTAACGCTGGAATTTTGAATACTCTCTGTGCAATTCATTGACTTTTTTCTGAAAAAATTTGAATTATTTGGTTTTTCATTGTTTAGAATTTATTCCAGTCACTGCAAAGTTGTTATCTTTTTAAACTGTAAATCAAAGGAAAAAGAAATTCTCCACAGATGTTTTATGTGTTTGATGTATTAGACACATTTTTGCAGCCTACTGCCTGAAACCTAGAGAATTCATTAACTCACAAGTTGCTGCCAAGGGGAAAAGTGGTCACATTTCCCAAGCTGATGTGCCTGTCCCCCAGCTGGGGGATGTGGTTAGGGCTGGCTTTGTCCTCCCTTGTATTTGGCTGGCTCTGGAGAAAGGGGAATTTCTTCAAACTGAAGGGCTGTTCCTGTTCCTCTCCTGACAGCATCTGTTATTTAATTAACCTGCTGAAGTCTGTGGCTGGCTCTGTTTCCCATTGTGCAGCCAGAGATGATGATAGATGAGAGTTTGTGCTCTGCATCAGCCTCAGAGACCCTGTCCCACATCACTGGAGTCACTGGCCTTAGCACAGACTTCAAAGAGGAACAAGACCCACAACCTCGGGAAAGAAGCGGAGTTACCACCTTTCACCCCCAGAAAGCAAAGCAGTTGACTAAATGCCACTCACCCTGCAAGGGACCTCTCTGGACATAGTTTTGGACACATCTGTCCCAACAGGGCACCCCTGGAGACACTTCAACAGTGAGAGCAGGGCAGTGACCCTGGGTGCCAGTAAAGCAGAGTTCTTTCTGGGTGTTAATGCTCTCAATTAGCCAAGGAAGGCAAATAAATACTTAATATGGCAGTACAGCATGGCAAGAGATGGCCAAACCTCTTCTGCATCTAAGTGTCTTGCAATAAAGAAGAGTCAGTAAAATACCATCTCTCTGGGTTTCCCTACTGCTGCTCTGCAGAAAAGAGGCTGCAGGGGAGCCTGAGCCTTTTATGTGACCATCTTGACTCAACAGGCTTTGGCATTGCTTGGGGATTGGAGCTAAAGGGTGCAACTGCATGAATGGTGGGAGACCTCATCAGTGGGAAACTTGAAAATCCCAGAGTGAGAAGACTGTGGTCATTTTGTAAACAATGCTGGCATCATTGACAGCACCCACTGCCTCCTCTCATCTCTGGGACAGGTTACTTAAACTCACTGTGGCTTCAATTCTCCCCCCAAAAGTTGAAGCTGGTTCAGAATTTGATAGCCCTCAGGATAAATAACATATGTAACCCTGAGCTACATTCTGTGATCCTCACCAGTACCTGAATGGGATTTCAGATGTTGCTTTAGATCTATAAAATGCTAAACGGTTTGCTTGTCAGATGGCCATGCTGCTGGCATGGCATGGAGCAGCGTGTGTGCGTCGGAAAGGATTCATCCCCCTCCTTGGTGGAAATCTCTTGCTTGCAAGCTCCTTCCACCTTTGGATCTGTGAGGGCTTAAGAGAAATTGCTAGGGTCATATTTCAGAAGAATTACCACAAAGAAATGTTACAGAAGATTCTGAGAGACAGAGATGGCTTTTACTTCTCTGTTGTTGTTTGAATCACAACAAGTAAATGTAAGAAAAACCAACCACTATAAACTCTCTGAGATACAGTCATCTCACAGCTAACAGGAACCTTGTTGAACTCAAAGGTCCCTGCTACCATTTGCTTTTCCTTTTGATCCTATCAGCAGTGTATCAGCCCATGTCACTATTTTCTGAACTGGAGGTTCAATATTTGAAGTAACCTGGATCAAGGCATTTCCTCCTGATAAGTACATTTAAAAGAATAGTTTCAATGTTTACTGTTTAATGTACTAGGATTAAAGGTGTAGTAATCCACTCAGGTAATATTGGCTTACTTTAAGCCAAACGATGTTAAACAAACAACCAGGTTTGCACTAATCTGTAGGAAACTGTAGAAGGGCTCTGAAGGGGAGAAGATTGGTGTTTGATATTTTTTTTTGTTAAAAATACAATTCTTTTGTCTAATGATGCACTGCACTGAATTCCAGAGGGAGGGATTAGTAGATGACATTTACATTCATCCATGTATTAGAGGCTGATTAAAAAAAAAATCAAAGGAATATATACTGCTAAAACTGCTGAAGGTTGCTGCTTTTATTTCAGATCAGAAGAGTTCGTGAATTCAAAGCTCATCTGCTTTTTTCCAAATAGATGTGCCTGTCTACTAAAAGATAGCACCTTTTCCTAAAAGCTTCATATTGCTTATTAAAACATAGCATTTTTTTCTTCAGGTTTTATTTTCTTTTAGATCTGTAATGTGTGTGAAACAGGTAATGGAATGACATTGATTTACAGCAGCTGTGATCCAGCTCCTCCTTTAAAAATGCAAAAAATTCCTCTGGTATTGGTCTTATGAAGAAGGCCGCTAGTAAATACATGGAGCTTTGTAGTAAATACAAAGTCAGCCTTGGCTAAAGCAAAGGCCAGCTCCAATGTTTCCATTGGCATTAATTCTAATTACTCAGTGGCATACTCTTGGGGTTTTTTTTTCATTCCGTGTTGCCATGATGAAACACATGGCAGATGTATTTCTCGGTCTGTTAGCACCTTGCAATGAGCCATTAACATGTGTTACTGTTTATCTCCCCTGTGTCTTTCTTGTAGGAATTATGTCTGACCACCAGTTTGGAAACCAGTTTATGTGCAGTGTGGTTGCGTCCCATGTGAGCCATCTCCCCACTACAAACCTCAGTTTTGTTTGGATTGCTCCACCTGCAGGGACGGGCTGTGTCAACTTCATGTACGTATACACGCAGTGCCTATGGGAAGTTAATCACGTTGGAAATAATGAAATAATGACATTATCTAAGCTGCTTGCACCTTATGGATCAAGGATTCAGTTCTGCAAAGTGTAGACTTTAATATGAATAAAGTATATTGAGTTCTTCCTGGCTGAAGAGTTTTCGTGCATATTAGGACGTTATATTTCAAAGTGTGTAAGAAGGAGATAGTGTTTTGTAATGTCGTCAGAGAAATAATAGCATGCCATCATAGCATGCCATAAGAGGAATAATGTACATCAATCAAAGTAGATCGCTGATCCTTTCAGTATACAGCACATTTGCATTGACACAATTTTTTTACCTGTTGCATTTAATAAGAGTTAGAATATCACTCAGATGTATTATTGAGATTGTAAGCATCAACATAAAATACAAGTATTTGAGGAGTAGTCATACTCAAGTTTTTACTGTTCCTAATAATAAACACTTTTAACTTCTGCTTAATTCAGCTCATTTACAACCTGGAAAAACCCAAGAGGACATTTGTACAGTTTTTTTTGTAATTTGTTTTAGAGACCTAAGTCATTTGATGATTTAGTACCATATAAAGTGCCAACAAGTTACGCCGCTTAATATGAATTATAGAATATATATTAATATATTTTGCCTTAATGTAATTTCTAATTATTGTTCCCAAAATTTTGGTAGATCAGATTTGAGAAAGAAAATACACCTAGAGTGGAGTTGAAAGTAGAAAATATTTCAGATTTGACCTGTTCATAGAAAAAAAGCCAGACTGCTTCCTGATTCGATAAGTGAGCTGTTGCAGCATTTCAGTGTGAGACATTTTCTGTGTCCCTGTGACTGTCCTGTTTGCCAAAACAAATTTTCCTCTGAGTATTATTCCTTTTCTATCTAAATTGGGAAGCTGCAGGTAAGTTCCCCACATAATGAAGTTGTTCTACTGTAAAAAATTAAAAATGAGTAATTTCTTTGAGAATATAGGTTGCTGATTGTGAACACAGTACCTGTTGATCAACTGCTCTTGTGTCTTGGATGTTTCCCTTTTCCTTCATAACGCGTATTTTTTTGCCTGTACTATTACTGTATATTATTTATTAGCTGCAATGACAATATCAAGACAATTTTATTTCTAGCTTTTTTCTTCTAAACATTTAACAGTGAATTGGGGAAAGAATTACTTTTGATGAGTGTTAACTAACTTCTGAGAAAGTATTTGTTTTTCATTAACTTCTACAATGTACAAGAGAAGCTGTTTACAATATTTAAGATTCCTATTCACTCTTCGACAAAAGTCGAATTGGATTAAATATTTGGGGACATACTGTCACTCTTTTACCGAAATTCTCTGTCAGAAAAATTAGCCTCATAAAATAGTTATATATACCTTGAGGAGATCTGTCAGCTGCTTTTTTTCTGTGGAAAATCTGTGAATTTTTACTTCCTTTAATTCCTCTCTAAAAATAGCTTCCTTTGTTGATTAAGCTAAATTTTGTTCTTTGAGCTGCCTGGGAGAAATGAGACATAAGATATGCATCTATTCTGCATACTCTTGCTTACTCCCTTTTTTTCTTGGATTTTTGCTTTTTCTGGTATACAAGAAATAATTTTTGGTCCTAGCTTGCATGGTGACTGCAAATCTGTTTGTTTATATGAGATGTACCTCTCCATTTTAAGTTTTGAGATCAGTTTATAAACAGTTAGTTGTTTTTCTGAGACTGATTTTTTGTCCATGGTTTCATATTGGGTTTTTGTGTTCATGTTTGTCGTTGTTGAAGAAGAGCTGACGAATAGCTTTATAGAAACACAAATACTACTATGACTGCTGATTCCCATTTATGTGAAATTGAAGGGACATTTTCTAAGGCAGTAAGTGCCTGCCTATCTTAAATCAATGGAAGGTTCATCACTGGCCTCAGTGGAAACAGAGTTAGGTCAGCACCGAATAGTTTTGGAAATCCAACCTGTAATCCCCTGTTTGTATAAGCCATAATGTGCATTAGCACCTCTTCACAAATGGTGTTGGTTCCATCACGTTAGTAAAGTTCTTAGCCATGCTGCAGCATGCAGAACATACATAGCAGAAATCTGAATTTAATCTTGACTATGTACTTTGCAGTGGGGATGAACGCCCATATATGTCAGCACGCTGAGTGCAGCGACACCAAAAGTGTCCTTGCTGTCCACAAGACTGGCAGGGTTGAGAGATCTGATCCTGCACTGATAAGCCCAAGAATGCAGCTTCTCCCAGGGTCCCTGGCCCAGTTGTCCATCAGTTTCAATGGCTTTACAGACTGCCTCACCCCATGGTATAAGGATGCTCCATGGGTGATACTCGTTTGTCTTTGAGTATGAGCAAAATGATGCAGTTATATCAGTTTGGTGCCCTGTAGAACAAATTCAGACAAGAGTGGAAAGGCTTAGCTTCTCCAAAGTTGGTCTTTACTCCAGGATCACACTTGACTGCAGGGCTTCTGGGGACATGTGATCATCAGTTGGAAATTAAAGGAGGAGGAATATGTTTTATATCTAATCGTCCTTCTCAGTTTCTCGTCAGCCACCCACGCTTTCTTGCCTCAGCTGTTGTTTCCCCTGCCTACTAAAACACAAGTTGCAGCAAACAAAGCTATTTTTTTGGTGTGGTGTTAGTCTACCCATCTTACCCAATTCTCTGACTTCAAGACTTCCAGAGACTTGACTCTGCCTTCTTTATCTCCGTTTGCCCCTCTGTAGCAAATAATTAGCTTGAACAAGGTTTTTTATCGCTTGACACTAACTACCAGTCTAGTTTAAATTTAATAAAAATTAAATTAAATTAATTTTAATTTAAGTTTAATTTAACATAAATTGAAATAGTTACAAAGGGTACCTTAATTTATAGATACTGTCAGCAGTGCAACAGAGGTAAGAGCTTCCTACACTGTTGCCAATACTTCTGTAATTCAGATCAGCTCATTAGTCTTTGACCTCTCTGGGGATGAATAATAAGGTTATTAATTAGCACCAGTTTTGATGGTGCAATTTTTGCAGTGTTGATATCTCTCCTTAGTCACTTCTCAGGAGGAACTGGACAAAAGTCACCAGGCAGATCTCCCAAAGGCCACTGCACAGTTTATTAACTCCTTATACTGTTGACCTGCTCTGGCTTCCACTGGAAACATGGACACAACAAAGAGAAATCATAACCCTATAGCTGGCATGGACAAAATTCCCTTTCATTTCATCCATGCTTTTTGGTGTGCTCTTCTAGAGCTCAGTCCTGAAAATTACTGAACCCCTACGAAACAAGATTTATGTGGTTATGCTGCCAGTCTGTTCTTTCTGGTAGACCAAACAAGTGTGACAAAGGAGTTGGGGTATCAAGATATTAAGTTCCATAAAAATCAGCAGCCAGTAGAGCATTTATACCAGTTAATCTGGGCATTTTCAGTAACAATCCTAATTGTCTGAAACTACTTCTATGAAAACTCAGGAAATAGCCATTTTGTTACATTCATCATGTGCAAGCTGTTGTTAATTCCCCCCATTTTTTTGGGTCCAAGTACCTTATTATGGTTAACAAATAAATATTTAGAAGACTCTTTTGTAAAATACCCTTCTAACAGAAAACCTGAAAGCTGCTGGTCTCCGTGTAGTACATCTCAGTGTAATCCTCTAGTATTTTTTCACCACAGATACCTCAGGGTGAGCTGAGGAAATGAAAGCTAAAATATATCCTTTATTGCCAAATACTTTCCTTAACAGTAACTTAAGACTGCTTTAAACAGGTGTTGAGCATCAGGGACTCCCAAGCAAATTGCCGGGATCTGTAAATGGTGTTTACCAGCAAAAAGTAGCAGGTCCTCCTTTAAACTATTGAGTTGTTTCTTTGATTGTGTATAAATTTGTAAAACATTATCTTAATAATCTTTCAGTTCCACTGTTAGTAATTTCTGCTCTGAGCTCACTAACCTAGTTAAAGCTCAGCTTGTCAGGAGGATAATGGCTGTTAAGCAGGGTGGCAAGGTGGGTTACATCTAAGGTTAAGCCTGTTGTTTTATACATAGCTTAACTTACTAGTTTGTAAAAGTGATAAAGCTGACCTAAATTGCAAAAGCATATTGTGTTTTGACTATCAGCATGGTTTATTGCAGAAGTTCCAGCTACTGTATTAAATAGAAAAGGTTGATATAGAAATTATTTTGGAAAAAAGTGTTTTTCTTATACAGCTGTTTTTGCTAGCCATTGAACGGGTATCTTACAATTCTAATTGTGTCTGTTGATATATTCACTATCATCAGATTTCAAAATATATTTATCAATTTGCAAGATTTTAATTCTGCACAATATAATTTGTTAGATATTTTCTGATCATTAAAGCATTATTTGAAAGCTACCTACCAAAGCTGGGCTGGACTTCTGTAATGCTGTCTGTCTGAGTCTGTAGGCAGTGTCTAATAACCCATGTAAGAGATGTGACATATCATAAATGATCTTAAAGTTCTGTACATTGAGAAGTCTTTGAAAGAGTTAATATAGAATGGAATGGAATGGAATGGAATAGAGTAGAATAGAATAGAATAGAATAGAATAGAATAGAATAGAATAGAATAGAATAGAATAGAATAGAATAGAATAGAATAGAATATTTTGGTTGGAAGGGACCTACAGCGATCATCCAGAAACTGCCTGACTAATTAAAGTCTGACTAAAAGTCAAAGCATACTGTTAAGGACATTGTTAAGGGCCAATTGTATATTATTTGACACCTAATTAGCACAGTTTATGGTGCAAAAAGCAGAAAGAGGACAGGAATAACAGTGATAGTGTCCTCCCGTAAAGACAGAGATCCTGTGCAGCTAAGAGAGCTGTGGTTGCTGACACAGGGCACTGACACATCACTTCTGAAGAAGGAGCAGCTGGTTCCCAGCACAGCTCCTGGAAAAAGTTTGAGACTGAGTGGTGAGGCAGACAGCTGAATTACTGAAAGAAACTTGGAAGAAACTTTCAAGAGAGG